GCCTGCAGAGCCAGGGCAGGTCTCTTCATACCCTGCCTCTACTCTGAGCTGTCAATGTGATGCCAACTTCCTCAGTGGCCACGTCTGTATAGCAGTTTTGAGAAGATTCCATGAAGTAATGACAATAAGCAGTAAGCACAGAGGCAGGCACTCAGCAAGGGCTCAAAATGGTGACCAAGGCAAGGAACTACAATGCTGTGGGGAGGAGCACTGTGGGGAGCATCATTTGGTGATTAGGAAAGGCTGGGAGTAGGGGGATTTTGACTAGCGTTCATATAGGGACAGCTGGAGACCAGAAAGTCAGAAACTCTCAGGGACCAAGGGGGAGGTAAGCTCACCTGCTGCCTGGTAGAGGGACTGGGACAGCAGAGGGAAAGCAGGTTCATCATCAGTCAGGCTCTGGGCATAGTGGCTCTCACTAGGTGTTAGGTACCTGGCCCCAGGATAATTAGGACAGGTGCCTAGTGGCCCAAGAGTATGAGAACCTGATAAGGGGAGTGGTTGGTGAGTGGATTTAAGCCAGAAGAGGAATCAAAACTGGGTTAAAGAGCATTCTCTGGCTATCTCCCTGATAAGGCCATGGGCCAGGGTACCGAGGCAGCAGCCAGCCTGGTCAGAGGGCATGTGGTTGTCTGTCATGGGAGTGGACAGGGAGAGCAGCAGGCTGCTGTTTCTGTCCTTCCTGTCTTGATCCTAGTCAAGGGTACTGCTATGCCCTTGCAATACCATTTCCTTAAAACGCTCTTTAACCCAGTTTTGATTCCCTTTCTGGATTAAATCTACCCACCAACCACTCCCCTCATCAGGTTCTCACAGTCTTGGGCCACTAGGCACCTGTCCTAATTATCCTGGGGTACCTAACACTCAGTGAGAGCCACTATGCCCCAGAGCCTGCAGAATGATTCAAAACACCCACGTCACAAAGCCCAGGAAACCTAGCTAACCTCACTCACTCTGCTTGCCATACGTAAGCCCTCTCCTACAATTCTAGCTGGCTGCTACCTTGTCCCCTGGTGCAAGCCCCTGTGAGGCCTTGTGTATGGTGTGCTGCACTTTCCTGTCTCTGGGAACTGTGAATGTAATAAATCCAGTTACTTTCCATGGCCCCTGGCTCCCCTCGCTGGCCTCACTATCTCACGAATCTGTCAGAGCAGCCTCTGGTTCCCACGTTCAGCCCCTTCCCCGAACCTCAGGTCCCAGCCTGCAGCTCTCCAAGTCAGAGGCTGCTCCTCCTGCTCAGTCCTGGCAAGACCGTGGGGCCACTTGAGCAGCAGTAGGGAGGAGTCAATTCCTGCTGCTGCCACTCCACAACCCATGGAGGGACCCCAGAACTGCTGAGTGCCAGGCTCACCCTGTCCCAAGGCTGTGTCATAGGCCTTCCCCCAGAGTCCAGCTTAGGCTTGGAAGGGGGGCCTGCAGAGTGCTGACCTGGTCCAGGTGCGAGAGGCTGGACTTAGCACAAGCCATCTGTCCATCGGAAAAGAGACCAGAACTTGAGTGAAGTAAGTCAGACACAAGGGCAGATATGAACCCACTTATGTGAAATACCTAGAGTAGGCAAATGCATAGAGGCCAATGTTTATTAGTGGTTATCAAGGGTGATGGCTGTACAATATGGGGACTATAATTAATGTCAGTGAATTGTACAACTAAAAATGGTTGAAATGGCAAATATTTTGTTATGTATATTTCACAATAACAACAATAAAAACCAACTTGATGCAGCTCTGGGGTGGGATGGGGATGCAGTGGGGCTCTGCAGTGGGATCCAGGATTAGCTTCATCTGTGCGGTTAGCCTCTGGTGCACGCTTTTCTCATTCCTTAAAAGGGGATGTGGGCAGCACCTTCGCTGAGGACTAAACCAGTTGTACTGGAGTCAACTTTGACTCCGGACAAGCCCATGTGTGTCAGAGTAGAAATGTGCTCCCCAGGATTTTTAACGTCTGGATTTTTCAGAAGTAGATCATCGTCAAACCTTTATTCTGAGGTGCTTCTGGGTAAACTCAAACCACCAATCTTTTGGTAAGGAGGTGAGTTCATTAACCATTTGCATCAGCCAGGGACTCAGAACTGAGGAGCACTGAATGACACAGGCCAGTGCTGCACTCAGCTGGAAAGACAGTGACTGTGGTGGGGGAGGTCCTTCTGGTGGGAGAGGCTGGGCCAGGTGACATCGAGAGGCTCTTATAGCACAAAGCACCCCAAGACTCTTACCATCACCATCCTCTTGCTTCTTGCTACCTCTCATAGAAGCTGACTAACCCAAGCACCTCATCTGACCCCTTCTACTCAAGGACAGTAAGCTCTGGTGGCATAGTAGATAAGGCATTTGGCTGTTACTGGAAAGGTCAGCACATCTGTGGAAGAAAGATAGGGTGATCTATTTCCATAGAGATTTACAGCCTCAGAAACCCAATGGGGGTATCTATGAGTTGAATTTGACTCAATGGCAGTGAGTTTGGTTTGGTTTGGTTTACTCAAGGGCAATGAGCACTTTAATTAGCATTCCTGCTTTCCAGATGGTAAGGCTGACGTCAGGGAAGTTAAGTAACTTGTCCAGGGTCAAATAGCCAGGAAGAGTCAGAGTTGAGAGGTGACATCTGCTTCCCTCCCAGGAGTCCTGCAATCAGGGAAATTCCCAGAAAAGTAAGGGGTTCACTGAGTCCTACTGACCTGCTGCAGCCTCAAAAGGCAGGGAGGGGTGGAGGGAGTCTGGGGGGGTGGGCAGGCTGTCTCTATGCCTCATTCCTGCCCCACTTGTGGAAGAACTGCCCTCAGGAATCCTCAAAGAGGGCACCACCACCAGATATATCTATGTTGCCAGAGGCCACATCTGCAGAGGAGCTGGGGGTGAGAAGAGGGTCCTCCCCATCCCACCCCTAACCTGGCCCTGGGCTGGGCCAGCCTGAGGTGGGAGGAGTTTCATTCCCTACAAGTGACCACCTCCCAGGTTCCTAAGTAACCTTGGGAGTAGGCACAGAGAATTAATGCTGAAATGCCTACATTCTCTTTGAAGCTTAACTCTGCAGGAGACCAAGGAATTTGGCTGGTCAGATTTTTCTCCTTCTTGCAGATTTAAAAAAAAAAAAAAGAAAGAAAGAACAAATCCACGTTGCTACTACCCAAGCTGGACTACATGAAACCAAACACCCTATAGTTAGTGCCCCCACTGACAACTGGATGCCTCTGCGGGCTCTCTGCTTGCAGTATATCCCTTTAAGGGCCTCGAAAGTTCAGCTGAATTTGATTTAATGGCTGAAACATCAGATTCCATTTAGGCCCAATCCCAGCTAAGTAGGAGTGCTTTGGCTCATGTAGAGCTTTCAGCATTCTGTCAGCAGCCACTGGTTCATTGAGAAAATTAATCTTCAGTCAGGTTGGCCCTGGTGGGGCTCCAAGGACCTAAGCACACGTGATGGGATCTGTGCACTGGGCACCAAATTAGTCAACGGCAGACCTGGAGAATGAGAGCCATGGTGCCCCCTTAGCATGACCTCTGGTATCACGTGGGCAGACAGATTCATTTTGGCCTCAGGACAGCTCTGGGGCCTCTGCCAGTCACCAGCCCAGAGGGTACTTCCTCCATGGTCTGGTCTTGGGCTTGAAGCAACTACAGTAGCCCCTCATCATCTCTCACTCACCTAGCTTCTCAGAGCCCCCAGGGACCCCTGCCTTCCTGACACCCCAGCCTTAAGGTTAAGGACCTGCTGCCTCCCCTCCCAGGTGTGGAGGGCCTGTGAAGAAAGCTAGGAATGGGACATGAGACATGGCGAGTGACACAGCCCCTTAGCCCTGGCCTTTCCTAGGATCTGACCAAGGTGGCGGTGCATGTCCAGAGGACAATCTCCTTCTCTGGTACCTACCAAGTCATCCCTTAACTCAGTGTGGTGACGAGCCTATCACCTGGTGTGGTAGTTGTGTGTCCACTTGGCTGGGCCTGGTTTTGAGTGGCTGGGCAGCTAGATGTAGTTATTCCCCAAGATGAGCCTGGTAATCAACTCCATGATCGAATCTACTGGAGCAGCTAAGTAGCTGCCTTAGTGATATGGCCTGCTTCCAGTATATAAGGAGAAGCTTTGGGAACGGTCTGCAGCTTTTGGGCATGCTTGGACCCTGTGTGTAGCTGAGTTTACAGCTTGCCATGTTGTCTGCTGATCTTGGGACTGTTAATGGGCTTGAATTAGTGGCCTGCCATGTGGTGTGGTTAACACTGGGACTGTGCCATTTCACTTGTCGGACCTTAGGTTTGTCAGCCTCAGCAGTCAGCAGCTGCCTGGGTTAAGAAAAGCCTCTAGCTTTAGTGGGCTGGGAGCAAGAAGCAGAGCTAAAGGCCAAGGTTGAGGGGCTTTCACCCAGCCCCCAGAGCTGGCACTTTGAACTCAGAATTCTAGACTCCTAAACTGTTTGTTAAAGCCACCCATTTGTGGTACATGTCTGTTAGAGGAGCTCTGGTGGCGTAGTGCCTAAGGCATTTGACAGCTAACTAGAAGGCTAGAGGTTTAAACCTATCAGCTACTCCTTGGAAGGAAGGTTGGGCAATCTACTTCCGTAGAGATATCGCCTCGGAAACCCAAGGAGGAATCAGTATGATCAGGATTTGACTCGATGGCAGGGAGTTTTGGTTTGAGAGGTAAAAACATCTGGTCACAGTCCTTACCTCCTTACCCCCTGAACAGCTGCAGAGGCTTTTGTGGATGCCTATTTCAGCCTCAGTACTGGCCTTTGATCCTACCTGAGCAGAGGTAGCACCAGACTCCACTGGTCCCTCCCTTGCTCTCTCCTTTTTGCCCATCAATCTCTTCACTCATACTCAGGCCCCAGCTCATGTCCCTCCTGGTGTCTTCCTGTCCCTGCTCAGTGAGTGCTGAGAAAAAGCATAAGGACACACCAGCCCCCTGCTATCACACCAGGTCTTCTATGTAAATGTGCAACCATTACCTAGAGCTGGAAATAAGCAGATGCTTTCCCACCAGCCTCCTATGGGGAGCCTCACCTGGCTGACTCTGCAGATGCTCCTCAGGCAGGCAGGTGCTTCCAGGTGCTGACGAAGGCTGTGGGGATAAGCGAGTAGGGCACAGTGGTAATGCAGTTCCATGTGTCTGATGTGGGGTCATAGCAGTCCAGGGTCTTACACCGCTGGGTCCCAAAGTAGCCCCCCACCACATAGAGCTTGTTGCCTGACGCTAGAGCATGGCAGGACATGCGCTTGGCGGTCATGTCCCCGATGCGTGTCCACTGGGTGGTCTCACAGTCGAAGCGGTAGGCTGAGGCAGCTGTAAACTCGGTGTCACCTCCCATGATGAAGATCTGGCTGCCCAGGACAGCTGCAGCTGTATAGCGCCAGGGCTGGGGGCACTCAGCCTTGATGTTCCACCGGTTCTCCACGGGGTCATAGCACTGCACTTTGGACACCATGTCCCGATGAATGCTGGTGCCTCCAAACACAAAGAGCTTTAGCTTGGCACTCACCACTGCAGCGTTGCTGACACCATCCCGCAGCGGGGCCACCATTGTCCACTTATTGGCTGTAGGGTCATACTTCTCTACTTGCTTCAGGGACACAGACGGGGAGGCTGGGAAGACGCCAGCCAGAGATGTGTGCCCGCCAACCACATACAGGCAGTTTTCCAGCTCGGCTGAGCCATGGCCAAAGCGGGCAATAAGCATGGGTGCTGCCTTGGACCACTCCTCGTGGACTGTGTCATAAACCCACACATCCTTGGAGACGCCATTCTCGGAGCCCCGACCCCCTGTCACATAGACCTTACAGCCGATGGCTGAGGCACTAAACTCCTTCCGTGGGCTGGGCAGGTCTGCCTTGGGGATGATCTCTTTGGCCTTGTGGTCCACCTGGTAGATCTTGTCACACATGAAGGTCTGCCCTCCCAGGATGAGCAGTGTGTGGCCCGCTTTGCGTGGCCGGGCGCAGGGGCTGGTGACGACCCCATCATTCTGTAGGATCTTGGTCTTGCAGCACAAAGCCTCATCCAGGATAAGCTTGGTGCGCTCGTCTGCCAGAATGATGTCCTCACCCAAGAGGGCCTCCTTGAGGCAGTCAGATGGCAGCAGGGCCAGCCGCACGCTCCGCAGCAGCTCAGGCAAATGCACCTTCCGCTGCTCTAGGTCATGCCTCACCCACTGCAGGACGGCCTCGAAGACCACCTGCTCGTCCTCTGTCTCCAGCTCATCACTTGATGTGAGATCCAGCAGGGTGTCCTTGGACAGGCTGTTGAAGTCTTCGCTTTGCCGCACAGTCTCAAAGTGCACCAGGCACATGCGCCAGGAGAACTCATATAGCCGGCGGCACTGGTGGGCGTCTGACAGCAGCATCATGCCCAGGCAGTTGGAGGGCAGCAGATTCTTCTCAAGGAACTCGGCGGCGGCATCCCGCACATCATGGAACTGCAGCATGTCGCCCGCCTCCAGCAGTGACTCAGCATTTTCCTCGTTGATGGCGATGCGGGAGGAGTAGGCAAAGTCCAGCAGCAGCTCCAGCACCTCAGGGTGCAGGTTGTCCTGGAAGTTGACCATGTCATCACGGCTCTCCCGGAGGCCGTGGCTGAACATGGCCTCAAAGTAGCGGCTAGAGGCAGCGAGCACAGCACGGTGACAGGGGAAAGCACGGTCGCCGGCCCAGAGTGTGACATCTGTGAACATGCGGTGCTTCCGCAGTGTGTTGAGGTGGGCCAGCACACAGTCAGGGTGGGAGGCCTTGTGGAAGAGCGTGATATTCATGGAGCCCGTGCTGCTCCGCGACTTGCGGGTCTCATGGACGCTGACGGACATGGTGAGCCAATCTGCTGGGGGAAGCAAAGCCCAGAGTGAGAGAGGCCATTCTCAAGCGCAGCCTGGTATTGCCGTCTATCCACAGGGTGGCTCACTTTTGAGGTCTAGCCCCAGATTCCCTGCCCTCCCCATCCTCCCTCTGAGTTCTCCAAACCAAGTTACATTCCCTCAACCACCTCCAAGGACAACATGGGTATTTGAGAATGGCTGTGCTTCTCCCTGGCCCTTCAGAAGCTAGCTTTGTTCTTGTCAGTGTGGATGAGTCCAGGAACTGAACATCTTTGGCCTGGAGATGAGCCTCCCACTGAGGTGAGCTCTACACGGGCTGCTTTTCACAGTGAGGAGAAAAGGCAAATGGCAAGCACCTATCAGGAAGTGCTAAGTGTGTGCACTCAACCACATTTCTATTGTTAACCCATTGTACAGTTGGTAGCCAGCTAAAGTATGGGAACCAGGGTTCACACATGACGGTTGGCTCTGAAGCCCAGTCCTGACTCTCCACTGGCCCACGGAGACTCTGCCTCCTGCAGATTTACAGCAGGAGATTTTTGAAACGAGCTTTCTGAGAAGCTGGGATACCTAAGCAGGGTTTTAAACTCCCCTCTGCTCCCAGCAGGCCCTGTCCCAAGCCCCCCTCCACTCAGAAAGATCCTCAAAAGCTGCTGCTGTGGTCCAAGTGTGTTCATTGCACACATGTCCTCTGAATCCAGGGGGCTGCAAAGGCCCCTTGACCCAGCTAGGAAGAGCATGGGCTGGGGGTGAGGCTGCTGACCAGTGGGCACCCTGCTCCACTGTGAGGTCCAAAGAGGAAGCCAAGACAAAAGCCTGGGAGCCATAGCCAGAAATGTCGAGACTGAGACAATCCAGACTGGCCTAAAGCAAAGCAGCCAGAAAACTCGGAGCCATTGGAGCTCCTTGGTTCTGTTGGCTGCTCCCCACCTCCCTGAATGCCCTGCACTACCTGCCTCAAGGTGGGGTGCTAAGAGCTGCTCTCCAACCAGACAGACACGTGCTCATCCTGGCTTGAAGGTGGGTAGTTCTCAGGCACTTTTGTTACAAAATCCAGCCCTCACACAACCAAAGACCCTGTTTCCCTGCCATGGAAACAAGGCTCTGCCAACAGGCCAGCAAAATCATACTTCTCTAGAAAAAGTGGCCAAAGAGCACACTGCACGCAGCATCAGACCCTCAAAAACCTGTGCTGCTTTCCTCCTGTTAGTCACAAGGCCAAAAAATTTATATTTTCCACTTTTAAAACTATATAACTACCCCATACACACCCTGCTCAGAAGCAATTTTCTACTTAAGTAATAATCTGATAGAGGAAGGAAGCGATTTCATGCTTCATTGAAATTTTAAATTTGTGTCCAAGTGCATGGCTCTCACACTCCTTGCCTGGAGAGGAACCAAAGAAGCCACAAACTAACGTGATTAGTGCTGCTTGGGCAATGCCCCTGCTCCTGGGTGCTAGGGGGATAAAGTCACAGGGATGGACTGGTATGGGGCCTGGCCTTTCTGCTCTGGGCACTGAGATCCAGGGTGGGCAGACCAGAAGGTTGGGACCTGTTTGTCAGATGGCAGGGCACTGCTGTCCAAATCTGTCCCTATACACAGGGCCCCCTGGCTCTGAGGTGAGTCTGCCTAGAGGGAATACTGAGGGGCTGAATGTCTCAGGAGACTGACCACTGGTCCCCGTGTCCTTGGCAGGCTCCAGTACTAGTGGGGAGAGTGATATGGTACAGGGTGAGAGCACTGGATCCCATGGAGGTCCCAGCTCTGCTCCCTACCCTGGGGTACACCTCTCTGCTCTTTGTACCTCAGTTTTCTCTTCTAGAAAATGCAATCTCTGTCCTGCTCAGGAGTCCATGAGAAATTATTTACTGAGCTCCTCCTCCAAGCCAGGCCCTGGGACACAATGTCCAAGTCATAGGCACAGGAGAGGCTGTGCCAACCTGGTTTGAGGAAGGCATTGCTGATAACTCGGTCCCTGACCACTACTGCCCAATCTTAATTTCAGACCCGGCCGCATGTTTCCTCAAATCTTCCTATGACTGCAAATCTTCACCTTTGCTTCTTCTACCCCTTTGATCATTGAATGCTTCCAAATGAGGTCGTTTGCCCAGCGACCCAGTCCCATCTTAGGCCACCCACCTCCACTGTGCAGGGTGCTATGTGTGAGGTGTTGCCTTTTGCTCTGAATACTATGCTGGAGAAGTGGGCTCAGACAGTGAGAACCAGGCCGCTACTTGGGGTCTCTGGCATGCCAAGGCCCAGGCCCTTTCCCCAGAGGCCAGGTCACAAGCCCAATGCTGAGGCTGGCCTCAGTTCCAGTCTTGACACATTGCATTTCCACAGGTCCTGCCTGTTCTGGGTGCCTGTACACCTCCCACACCTGCCTGACACCCTACACCCACTAGCCAGGGAGCCAGGCTATCTCTAAACTCATCACCTCAAATGCTCAAGCTTGGGATACCCCACATGTACACCCAAACTCCCCTCAGATTCCTTTTACAGATAAGACAAGCTGGGTTAGAATCTCAGCTCTTCATCTTGTTATCTATGATGAGGACTTCACTAGTTCCTGCTCCCAGGGGAGGGGCCCAATGGGTCCCCACGGGGCCCAGTGTCCCCACACTACCAACCATATGAGAATATACATTCCAGGTCTGTCAGGAAGAGGTCTCTGGGTTTTCTGCACTGGGCCCTTCCCTTGAGTAGCACACTTCCCTCAAGTGACCTGAGTCCACGATCTCAGGGCAGCTCACGTTGGAAGCTGTAGGGTAAGGGGTGGACCGAGTCTTCACTCAAGAGGGTTTTGTTAGCAGGCTGTCCTACAATGGTATTAAGGTGAAGACTTCCTTTTGAGAGGGTTAAAGGTGGGCAGGACTCCTTGGGTGCTATAAATGGTTAAGTGCTCACCTGTAAATTGAACGGTTGGGGGTATGAGCCCAATCAGAGTAACTTTGGAATAAAGGCCTCACAATCTGCTTCTGAAAAATCAGTGACTAAAAACCCTATGAAGTACAGTTCTAGTCTGACACAGATGGGGTTGTCACAGGCAGACTCAACTTGATGGCAACTGGTGACTGGTTAATGTGGGACAAATTCAGATGCAAAAACCGAGAGTAATATAAAGCAGGCCAAATCCACACAGAGCAGCCACCCTTGTCCTGACAACAACGTAAAGCAGTGTCCTCCCCAGAGTTGGCCTAATGACTGGCTCAAATCAGGGACAAGAATGCCTGCTGGCTTATACAAACTTCCACACAGCCAAAGAGCCAGAGACTTACCCCAAGCAAGTTCCCTGTTCCCTAGAGCACCTGCACCTCTTTGCTGAGGGTACCTGCCTAGCTGTTTTCTGTTTTTTCTACCTCCTGTTTAGGCGGGCCACTGACCCGTGAGCCAGTTTTCCGGGAACAGCAGTCACATAACCTTGTATCAGCTTTACCACAACTCCACATAAGCTAGTGGGTATCACTGTCTCCAATTTATGGATAAAGAGGCTGGAGATGTTAACCACTGTGGCCCAGGCCACACAGGTCAGGAATTGGCAGAGCTGTAATTCTCCATTCAGGTCCACAGGTCCACAAGGCTGTACTCAACTCCAAGCCCTCAATGCAGGTAGTGTCTGTCACCCAGGCAGAGGGAGACCAGGCCTGAAAGCCAGGAGCCCTGGGTGCTGCTCTCTCTCCCAGGGCCCTCACCTTGAGTACAAATACCTAGACATCTAACAGTTAAGCAGGTGCCCTTGAATTGTCTCTGACTCACGGCAACTTCCATGTGTGTCAGAATAGGAATGTGTTCCATAGGGCTTTCATAGATTGGGTAATCTACTTCCATAGAGTACCACCTTGGAAACCCAAGGAGGGGTCACTATGAGTCGGATCCAATTCAACAGCAGTGAGTTTTGGTTTTTTTTTTGACTTTTCAGAAGCAGATTGCCAGGACTTTCTTCCTAGGCATCTCCAGGTGGCCTTGAACTTTTTAGTTGACAACCTTTTAGTTATTAGCTAAGCAATTAACTTTGTGCCACCCAGGGACTTCTATTTAAGTTATCTCAATCTTATTATGTCCAAAAGAGAGCTGTGAGCATTTCCTCCAAACCTGTTCCTCTCCTAAATTTCCTCAGCTCAGGAAATGGCAAAAAAAAAAAAAAAAAAAAGGCTTTCCCCTACCCCTCACTCAATCTACCAGCAAGTCCTGCTGGCCCCACCTCCTGAATGAATTCTGAATCTGACCCCTTCTACCACCTCCTCTGCTACCACCTCCACCCCTGGTCTGGACAAACAGACAAACCCCTCACCAGCGATCCACTTCTGCTCTTGCCCTCCTATGATCTATTCTCCATATAAAGGACAAAGTGTCCTCGTGAATGCATCAACCACTTCTCAAAAAGTCAAAATTAAAATTGCCATACAACCACTAATTTCACTGCTAGCTACATATATCCAAGAGAAATAAAAGCAGGGACACAACCAAACATGCACACACTAATGTTCATTGCAGCATTAGTCACAACAGTGAAAGGTAGAAACAACTCAAGTTATCTATCAACTGATGAATGAATAAATAAATATATGGGTTATATCCATACAATGGAATATTATTCAGCCATAAAAAGGAAATGAAGCTTTGATACATGATACAACATGCATGAACCCTGAAAACATTATGCTAGCTAATCAGTCAGTCACAAAAAGACAAAATACTATATAACTCCATGTGGTGTAGTAAATTACGTAGTGTGGCTTTTCTACCCATAAGTCTTTGTAAACTCTGTGGTGGAATTTGCTGTGAACTGAGGAGCTCCTGATTGTAAAAGTTATCCACCTGGGGTATTTCTGTTGGGCATAACACAAAGCAATGTTCTGGGAGGTTCCTGCTCTCTCTCAGGTGCTTAAAATTCTGATGTTCTGATTGGTTAGTTTGGCCACTCTGCCAGGCTCAAAAGGAGGCCTTCTAGAGGCAGAAGAAGTCTCTCTCCAACTGCTGGTTGAGGAAGATG